TCACAAGTTGGGGCCAGTCTCAGCAACTCAGCAACATCCCATCTCAAAATAAAAATAAAAAGGGCTGGGGATGTAGCTCAGTGGTACAGTGGACCTGGGTTTAACATCCAGTGCCAAAAAAGAAAAAGAAAAAAATGAAAAAAAAATTCAGGTGAGGAATGACTAAACTTGTTTTATGATTTTAAGTCCTTATAACTGCCTAGCTTTCCTTACTGTTTTATATAAAATATGGATAAATAGTTTTATCATGGGCATATAAAAGCTTTAACTACATTTTATACCAAACCAACAGAAGAATGAATATAATTTTTTTCCAATTAATGCTGAATTTTACTCAGGGAAGGTGTTTTGAACACTTCTCCCATTGAGCATTTGTAAAATATTTTATTAGTATATTTTCTTATTCTCTTAGATTATATGTGTATGGACACCCACCCATGTGTGTATGTGTGGTTTGGGTACAATTTTTTTGTAGATCTTATACATGCTTCTTGCAATGGCACATGCCTGTAATGCCAGCGACTTGGGAGGTTGAGACAAGAGGATCACAAGTTCAAGAGCAGCATCAGCAAATTAGCAAGGCACTAAGCAACTTAGCGAGACCCTGTCTCAAAATAAAAACTAAAAAGGGCTGGGGATGTGGCTCAGTGGTAAAGTACCCCTGGGTTCAATCCCTAGTACCCCAACTCCCTTAAAAAATTTATACATGCTTTTTTTAGGAGCTAAAAAAAAGGACAAAAAAAGGTCAACTTGAAAATGTCAGACCAGGAAAAAGACTACTCCTTATATAACTTTATTCCTGTGTTCACTGCAAGCTTATTGTGTGTCTACAGCACTGTGTCTACAGCAGTGCTTGTGTTCTGAATTCTGTGTGGGTAAAGCCTCTAAGTCAAGGCTTGCCCCTATTGCCTCTGATGGTTGGCTAAGCAATTGAAGAATTAGAGATTTAAAATCCTTTTTTAAAAAAAAGTAAATTACTGATCTAGAGCAGTGGGTCTCAAAGTATGGTCTAGGGACTCCTTGGGGTTGCCAAGATACCTCACAGGGTCCATGATGTCAAAATATTATTATAATAGTCTTTGTCTTCTTTCAAGCCCATTCTTTCATGAGTGCATAGTGGAACTTTCCAGAGGCTACATGATATGTGCTATTGCAGCAGTCTAAATGTAAAAGCACGACATGTGAGAGTAATTCACTTGTCTTCAGCCATATATTATAAAGATTTTCAAAAAATGTAAGAAAAAAGCCAATTATTGCTATCATGATATTTCATCTCAATTTCAACACACATTTTCAAAAAATAAGACTCTTTTCCACAAACACATGTATTAGCTATTGCTGTGTAATGAATTACCTCAAAACCTAGCAGCAGGAAGTAAAGAGGCTTATCTCACTGTTTCTGTGTCAAGAATCCAGGAGAGGCTAGCAGCCATCTCAAGGCTCAGCAGAGGCTGAGGGATCTGCTGCCAAGGACACTTATGCCACTGACAGGTCTTGGTTTGGGGATGGGTGTGGGAACTGTTGGACAGAAGACCTTGGGTTCCCACACCATAGGGCTGCTCATAACATGGCAGCTCCTTCCTTTGGTCCAATAGAGAAAAACATACCCAAGGTGGAAGCCATAGATTCTTTATACCCTAATCTCATAAGTGCCATCCCTTCACGCCAGCTATATCATATTCATGTGACTTGTGTGCCAGGTGCAGCCCAAACTCAAAGGGAGAGAATTATGCAAAGTTGTGGCTGCCAGGGGCAGAGGTCACAGGTTCATCTCAGAAGCTGCCTACCACACCACAAATCACCACACCTAATAAAATCAACACTAGTTTCCTAGTATCATCTAAGAGCCAGTCACATAAAACAGTTCCCATGTGTTCCCCCAAATGCCTCTTACATATATTTGTTCAGGCCAGGTTCCAATCAAGGGCTACAAGTTATATTTGACTATTCAGTCTCTGAAGTGTCATCTGATAAAGAATATCCCTCCTCCTTGTTCTAATTTTCTTTCATGATACTGACTTGTTGAAGAGACAAGGCCAGATGGCACTGAGAGAGAGTGCCAAGCCATTCCGAGGGCCACAAGAGTTTGGAAGGGCTGCTTTGGATATAGGAGAAGCAGCCTGAATGCTAAGGGCAGAAGCCTGGGAAGAAAATGGCCTATAAAGTGAACAGGACCAGCTGCTATATTGCCCGAGCCTAAGGTGCAGCAGCCTTTTCTCACTAAAGGCCAACATTCTCGCAGGAGGGCTTTTCTAATCCTCACAGGAGACTATTTTTATGGGGAAGGAAGGAAGAGCCAGACAGCGAGTGACCTTGCAGCAAGGAGATGCAGGGGAGAGGCACACTGTGGTCCCAGGCCTGGGGGATAAGGAAATATTTTCTGGCCCTTTTAAATTCATCATCCCCTCGCCCTATAGTAAACACATTCCACACCTTGCAACACTTCTGTCATCACTGCTACTTGTCTCCAGGGAGTTTCCCAACTTGCAGATCCTCTTACCACCTTCCAGTCTTCCCCAAACACCAAGGAATCAGGATCACCAAGAACAGTGGTCCTATTTTATAGATTTGGCAACTGCTCTGAGAGATTAAATAATACAGACACAGATATCCTCATAAGTGGCCAAGCACACCTTTAGACACAGGCCCTGGACTAAAGCCTAAAGCATGTGACCATCACCACACTGAGGAACTCTCCAGGTTGCTGGTTCTGTGGGCAGTTTGTGTTTGCCTCTTCCTATCTCTATGGACATCACTACCATCCTGTCCTCACCACATCTGACACCAGCACAATATGTCATCTCTTCTCATTTCATCCTCAGGACACTTCTGAGTGCAGACTGTTATTGCCAATCTTGCAGACGAAGATGTGGCCTCTCAGCTGCTGGGTCTACCCCAGGTTGAGATTTAACCTGCATGGGGATGCATGCAGGGTCACAGTTTCAGCACACCTTGTCTAGAGGTGTTTTTTTTTCCTCCAACACTCTCCTCTTCTAATAGGCTGGACCTCCAATTACAAATGGAATACCAATAGCCTCCTCCTCCTCTTTTGACTGTTTCTGGAAACCCTCAGTACAAAAACATCTTCACTTCACACTGCATTTTCAATATGTTTAATATTATGAAAGGGAATCAGATTTTTGACAGAGGATTCCACATTGAACAAATCATAGAAAAATAAATTCTGATTTATTGTAGCCAAAAGAACATTTAAAGATTACCTAGAGACTGGTGGTGTGGTTCAGTGGTAAAACACTTGCCTAGCACATGCGAGGCCCTGAGTTCACTCTGCAGCATCACAAAATAAACCAAAAAAATCATCTAAATCAGAGGTTCTCAACCTGGGGGCAATGGAGTCCTCAGGTGGCATGTAGCAAGGTCAGGTGACATTTTGGGTTGTCACAACTGACAGGAGGGAATTGATACTGGCATATAGTGGGTGGGGGACACAGATGCTGCAGGAAAGTCCCCATGACAGAGTTATCAGCCCCAGCCCCAAATGCCAACTGTTCTAAGGTTGAGAAAACCTAATCCCAATTCCTCTCAAGATGAGAAAACAGGCATGAACACACCAGGTGACTTGTTCAAGGTTACATAGTCAAAAAGCCAGAAGTGGAGTCCAGATCTCTATTAAATCTACTTGCATCACCTGCTTTGTTCTGCTGGGGAGAAGCCATGGTGGGGACCTGAGGAAAGTTCATTGTTTTTTTTTTCTTCTTTTTCCTTTTAATTATGCTGTGGATTAAATCCAGGGTTTTGCACAGGCTACACACATGCTCCACCACTGAGCTACACCCTCCACCGACCTTTATTCTTATAGCCAACTGAACCAAAGAAAAAAAAAACTGCAATAAACAAATTACTGAATTACTGCAGTAACACCAACTCTAAAAGAACTCAAACTCTAAAAGAAATGCCTTCTTCAATGATCAATGAAAATATCACTGTTTTAGCAGCCCCCCAAGTTGCCTATGGGGCAAATTATTCATGGTGTGAGTTCCAATACCATTTACTGATGCCTCAGCTTCCAGAGGGGTCTGGTTTTCAGGAAAGAATGACACATTCTCCTCCTAAGGGAGCCCACGCATGTCCTGGGTACAGACCAGGAGAAATGAATGTAAACAGGGTAGGGAAAAGTCCATTAAAATCCCCCCACAACGCTCATGCTGGAACTTAAGTCACCTGACCCACTCCATTTGTTGCTGAGTCATCAGGTCCCTGCCTTCAGCAAGCTGATTATTCAGCAAGGGGATCAAAAACAACGCTGAAATTCTTAGGGTTTGGTGTCATCTCCACCCTCACCCTCTGCTAAAGACCACTTTGTTCTTAGAGATGTAGCCATCTCTTACAGGCACTGGCATGCTACCTTTGGAAACTGCGTTTTATTTTATTCTATTTTATTGGATCTTATTATTTTTAAATCTACTGAAAACACTGGAAGAAAAAACACATTTAAATACTGGAACATTGCAAAATGCAAAACAATTTAGATAGCATATTTGGCCCTTAAATTGTTAACCAAGAAGCTGCCATTTCCCAGCAGGCTTTTGTTTTAAAAGACATAAGTCTAATTACTGAGAACATCCCCTTTAAAGAGAATAAATGTGTTATTTTTTAAGCACAATGACAGTGAAAAAAATAGTTGATGGTTATCTTTTAAAAGCCCATCTCTTCCTTAGAATGCATATATTGTGGTCATTCCAGATTTTTCCCCTCCTGAACATGAGGTCCTGTCTTTCTGTCTGGCCCCTACCCTTTTTTCTCAGTGTGGGCACGCCAAGACTCAAAGTCACGCGTGGACTTGCACCAGGCCACTCCCTGCCTGATGCATGCAGCAGCAGCTTGTAGCTGTGGGCAGCAGGCGCCACAGCGGGCAGAGGCCCCACTTTCTGTTTCTGGGGACGCTGCCAGGCTTTAGGCCAACCCGCTGGGGCTCCGCCTGCAGAGTCCGCACCACCGGGAGCCCCGGGGAGCGCGTCCGGGCGCCGAGCGCCCCTTACCTGCAGTGCCGCATCGCGCAGCGCGGCCGCCCACCTGGACAGCATCCTAGAGCATCCTTTCTTCAGCGCGACGGCTGTGAGCGCCGTGACGTCACCGGGAGGCGGGCTCCACGCTGCCACGTGACGCCTTGGAAGCTAGGAGGGGAGATCCGAGGAGGGAAAGACCTTGAACGCCTGGGGAAAGCAAGGAGCGGTGGCTTGAAAGCCTCGCTCTGACCACCCTCAGGGCATTCTGCTTTAAGTGTGCTGCTTCCCTAACCTTTAACGAGGAATTATGGAAAACAAACCACACAGAAGGAGACACCCAAATTATCACAGGCTCCAAACCTGTAAAAGGATTTCAAAATAACTAGCAATAGGAGATTATAGTGAAAGGAGACACAATTTAGTTATCAAATGCAGTAGGGAGATATTTTGTGCAAATCAAAATGATGCTTAAGATATAATATGCATGAACATACTTTATGTAGAGGTTCAATAATTCAAATCATATATCAAGTATTACATCAAACACTATCAAAGCATTTCCTTAAGGAATATTATACTAAATGCAATGATGAATGATGCTTTAATTACTCTCAATAGCTGCATTCCAATATTAATTTGTATTTGCAAAGGGAAAATAATGACACCACATATTAATACTATTTACTAAAATAATTGATTATTTAAAATAAAGCAATATTGCATGAGCAGAATTATATCTGTTTATTTCCTTAAATCTTCTGGTAAGGCATTTAATTTCTCAGGTATGAAAAATTTAATTCACAATAGTGGATTATTTCACATTTTCTAATTTTTATCACATTCTGAAGTGATTCATTTTACAATTACAAAAAAATATGTACAATGTCAACATTTCCCATTCACAACTGAAACAGCCTTGCCTAGGAAGCTTTAAAAGATTCCAACTGTGATGATTTCATAAAGTTGAAATAGCATATTTCAAACTTAAGCAGTACACAATCTTTTCTTTCTGCAAACCACATAAACATTTTTGAAATGTAAAAGGACAAAAGCAGAAATTGTTATTTATATTCCAGTTTCATGTAAATTAATTTGCTTTCACTTGAGTTTAAATCATAATTTTAACATTCCCTTCTCCCACACCCCTGAGAGAAATGTGAAATAAATTGTTTTACAAGCAGGCTAGAGTTAAAGAGTTAAGTTAACTTGCTATTTATTCCAGCAGCTTTGGTGTCCTTCTATATTTAACCTGGGCCCCTTTCCCACTATTCGCTCCAGATTAACCAACTTTCTCTTCGGACGTTCAATCTTTAATTTGGGAATAAATATAGCCCTTGCTTCTCACAGCGATCTATATTATTTTCAAGACTAGATTTTTTTTTTTTAATCAACAAAGTGGCAGTGTGGCTTTCTCAGTCACTCCTCTCGTGTTTGTTTTTCTGAGTCACAAACAACTTACCTTTCGCTGTCAGATCCCTGAGATAGAAAGCTAAAATGCTACCCCGATCCGTCGCTCCTTTGGGTAGACGGTCTGATGCCAGCGGAAACTGACAAGTTCATTTTCCTGCCAGAGGCAAATGTCGCTTTCAGCCTCAGGCGCCCAGAGGGCCCGGGAGGCAGGCTGGGAGCGTCACGTGCTCTACCCAACCACAGAGCCCAGCCCAGCCCAGCAGGCCTTGGTCACCTCTTGACTCCGCAGCTCCCTAATGCCAGTGTCATTCGCCCCCACCCTTGCTGCATTTGTATCCAAAGAGAATTTAGTCTTCCCATACAGGACGCGCCCCGCCCCACGCCAGAGGCTGGGCTGCTTGAACGACTGGGACACCAATTCCCTGAATCCCTGGGGGGTGGGGATATACAATATGCCCCCCTGAGGCCAGAAGAGGACCTCGAAACTGTATTTACAGCCTTGCTTTGTGTTCCACTTGGCTGAAATGACTAAATACAGGCACCTTCCTCATCCAGGGCGGTTGGGGTTTTTGTTTCTGCTTTCCCCAACAGGTTTGTTTCACCTTCTCTTTTTCCAGGTGATTGCTCAACTGTTTTTAAAAAAAAGTCACAACAAATAGTTTAGAAAAAGCCTAAACTAGGCCATGCAATTTTGAACAGAATGAAATAACTCTTCTAAAATCCCACCCTTGTCTATCAAATTGGCAAAGTTTAATACAACAAATAGGAACAAAAACAAACCTAACACCACCCTTGAAGAGGTAAATTGAACCATCTTTCTGGTAGGCCAGTTTAATAATTCCTTCCAAAAGCCTGCAAGTATGAATAATTTGACCAATTATTCTGGGTCCCAGACAGCTTTTGACATAATTTGCTCCAGCAATTTATGGCCAAGAATTTGCCTTGTTTGGGAGCAGAGAAGAGACAGGTGGGAAAGAATCAACTAGGGAAAGTTTGCTGCAATTATTTATGATCTCAAAGCACTGGAAGCAAGTTAAATCTTCAAAAACAGAAGATATGTTAAATTCTAAGATTAGAACAGTGTTTGTTTCTTTATCTTGTTTTACCTTTGCAGTGCTAGGGATGGAACCCCGGGCCTTATGCAGCAAAGCATACACTCTACTGAGCCACATACCCAGCCCCTAGAACAGCATTTCTTAATGGGGAGTGATGTTGCTCCCTTTCCTCCAGGGACATTTTCAGCTGCCACCCTCAGGAACTGCTGGTGGGGGGCACAGTGCCTGGCTACTGGCATCCAGTGAGTGGAGACCAGGGACATTCTTAAACATGCTACTAAACATGCCCAGAACTGACTGCCCCATGATGGTGAATGATCCAGCCCACACTATCAATAGGGCTGAGGCTGAGAAGGCCTGGTTTAAAATTGGTTATGAAGTATAATTTGATGCCCCAAATATTTCATTTCCCAGCCATTTTAAACAATTCCCCATTGTATAATATGCTGGAAGCTCTGCTTCATCATAAATCCTTTTAACGTAGTTTTATTGGCACTTGAGAAGGATAATTACCTGTCTGTACATACACTAGCTCTGGGCCTCAGAGGCAGGTGGGAAACTTTCCTAGGTTTGTAATGCACCACATATGTTTAAAACAGACATTTTTCAACCCCCCCCCGTATTCATACAGCAAATGTATAGTGTACAAAGCACATTCATCTTCAGGATTATTTGATTATCTCAAGATTATGTTAACAGCAATACTGCAGGGTTGATGCTCTGTCCCCATTTTGCGGACAGGCTCAGAAACAGCCCTGACATCAGCCTCCTGCTGCCTGGCAGGAGCATATTGTGGTTAAACTGAGTCCTACACTGGGTGCCTGGGTTTTTCCCTTGGGGGAAAAAGGTTCATCACCGACTCTCACCATTTTATACCCCAATCACTTGCTCATATCAATCCTCAAGCTATTGAAGGGAGCTGAATTTATCGGTTTTTGAAAGTCCAGCATTTAGCACTGCCTTGGGGACCCAATGTTTGTTACACCAGAAATTAAATTGTCCCAAAATGTTCTCAGCCAAATATTAGCACCTTTAATGATGTACCACCTTGACTTGTGACATGACTGTTATAGAATATTACTGTGTGCTATTTTGCCAGGCTTCTGTAAAACTTCATTTTTCTTTCTGCAAAATAGGGGAGAAGAGGAAGAATAATCATATTCACCATTTGGGGGCATCATGAGGCTTAAGTAAACTATCTGGAAAGAGCAAGCTGTGCCTTGTTGGAACTTAAGATACAAGGAAAATTGTGTACCTCTATATACATTTATTGAAATAATCTCCCATACCTTGAACCAAGTGGAAAAGTTAATAGACTGTAAAATCAAAACACACAAACTATATATAAAGCTCCATGTTGCCCAATTTATTTGCATGCCATTGTTAACTCATGTAAACCCACCCTTAAGGGACATGTGGGCCCTATAAGCCCAGGCTGGTTGGGAATGACTGTTATGTTTGTACAACAATGCATGGTTCTCAAACAACAACCTGTCTTTATTTTTAAATTTGATATTTTGTGCTTCATGAATTTTTGTATCAATTTTGGATTTAAAAAATAGTATGTTATCTTGGTTACTGATGGTTTTTTGGTGCCCTCTTAAATTTTGCACCCAAGACAAGTGCCTATCTTAACTCTTTCAAATTTCAACTCTGAGCATCTGGTAAATTATTCTATAGGGAGCTGGGGCTATAGCTCAGTCAGTAGAATGCTTGCCTCACACACACAAGGTCCTGTGTTCAATCCCCAGCATCACAAAAAAAATATTATATAAATGGTGAGTCTATAAATCCTAGAGGTAAAGATCACTATTTCATCTGTCTTTGTGTCCTGAGCTTTTTACACCTGAATACATTGTCCCAAAGAAATGAATGAATGAATGAATGAATTCCACATCTAGCTTGGTACTGTGCATATGGCCAACATCATAAAAGATTTGTCTGCAGGGAGGTGGGTGTGGGGGGGAAGCATTGGGCTCGTTGTTAAGTGGTGGAGCGTTTGCCTGTCACATGTAAGGGCACTGGATTCGATCCTCAGCACCAGAAAAAGAGAGAGAGAGAGAGAGAGAGAGAGAGAGAGAGAGAGAGAGAGAGAGAANAGAGAGAGAGAAGGAAAGAAAGAAAGAAAGAAAGAAAGAAAGAAAGAAAGAAAGAAAGAAAGAAAGAAAGAAAGAAAGAAAGAAAGAAAGGGGTATTGTGTCCATCTACAATTTAAAAAAGAATTTTAAGATGTGGGGAAGAAGTAAATGACATGGAATACAAAAATATGCAATCTAGCCTTTCCCAGGCATTCCAAGCTGCATTTATAGATCACAACAGACATCAGAAAGCTGCAAAACTCACACTATACTACACTGACATCTGTCTAAAGGGATAGCCTTGATTGATGTGACAAACAAAACTTTTAAAATCCCTCTGTAGTTTGCAGTGGAGTTGTTGTCAAGGACATTGCCCATCTAGGAAGACTGAGAAAAGATCCTGTGTAGCTCTCAGGGCTAAGGGAAATCTTGCTTCCCCCAAGAAATAATTCAATTTTTCCTCTCTGACAAGAAACCTGTGCCTCACAGCATCTCCTTTCTTAGGGTGCCAGAAACTAAGATTGTACTAGGGCAACTCAGTAGGACTGCCTTTTCAAATTGTCATGTGCACAGTGGTGTGCAGGTCAATGTCAAGCAACCCAGTTGTCCAAGGGGAGAGCAGACAGAGCCTTGATTTATAACATTTGCTGTGTTCCCATGGTATAAATTCTCCCACCATAGCTGGCTTCACGACACTGAATGGAGAGTTGGAAAGTGAGGCATGATGATATTCATTATATAGCCTCCTCACTGTACATGGGCCATAGATGTAATTTGTTTTGTTGCACCTAGATAAGGAACTGCTTTTGTCATTCTTGGCCTGGCCTTCAAAAAAAGTTGTTAATTTGTGCCAAGGCTTTGGATTGGAAATATGATTTTTCTCAAACTACACTCTCCTAATAGGATAGCCACCAGCTACAGTTGCTACTTATGTTGAAATTTATTTAAAGTTCAAATTCAGTTCCTCGGTCATGCTAGTCACCTGTCAAGTGTTAAGAGCCACATGTGGCTAGTGCTTATAATATTTTGGTGCAAATAGAGAATAATTCCATCATCCCAGATAATTCTATTAGACAGTGCTGCAAAATCATCTCTGTTAAACTAATTCCATTGCAGTAAAACAATTTGTGTTTATTACCCTTGGGATTCTGCCTATAATTGCAGGGTAGAAAAAGCAGTGTAGCCAGAGTGGTTATTGGTGGGAATGATGAAATAGCATGGATTCCACAAGACTGTGTGCCTCCTGCCAAAGGTCTCAGGCAAGATGCTTCTAAATGCCACAAAATGGGCAGCCTCTGCCTTTGGACTTCTTCAGGAGCCTACAAATCCTGTCTTAAGAGGGAAAGGGACTATCTGGTCATTTGTTCCAAAGCAAAAATTGAGATGCATGCAAGAGAGCATACATACTAGAATACAAACACAAATACTTCAGAGGTGGATATTTCTGAGGTAGGTTGGACAGTGAACTCCAAAGATGTTCACCCCTCATCACAATACCTGTGAATATGTTGCTTTTTATGACAAAAAGGCAACTGTGGTTAAATTAGAAATCCTGAGATGATGAGGTTGCCCTGGATTATCCAAGTTGGTTCACTATCATCAGAGGGGTCCTTATAAGAAGGAGGCAGGAGGGTCAGTTCGAGAAAGAAGTGTGACAATGTAAAAAGTGATCAGAGAGATGGAATTGAAAATGGTACATTGCTGGCCTTGAAGATGGAGGATGGGGTCATAAATGTACAAACATAAGCAGCCTCTAGACACTAGAAGGGCAAGCGAATAGATCTCCTTGAGAGCCTGCAGAAGACAGCCCTGTCTACACGTGGATGTTCACCCAGTATGACACATTTTAAACTTCTGACCTCTAGAAACAAATATAAAAGGATAACTATATGTATTTTAAGCCATTAAGTTTGTTATCATTTGTCACAACAGTGTTAAAACAAAGCCCTTGAGACCAGGGGATCTCTGAAATAAAAGGGTTTATCAAGATTATAGAGGAGAGCCAGAAAGAATGAACCAGGTCTTGGGACAAATTCCCACAACTGCCAGCATCAGGGCCAAGCAAAA